ACACATATTTATGCATGCATACATAAATACACAAGCAGTTGTTGCATGCCGTCTGGGTGTGAGCGATGGGAGAATATATACGCACTCTCATTCGCAATGTTGGAGAGAGACCGTAGGTGCTAAGTGTGAATTATTTGGATATGAATTTCCCATCTCGAATGTGGAGGGAGGGCAGGATAGGCGAGCCTTACGGTATTCGCGAGGTGAGGCTAAAAGATACTCGACAAGATATTCTGGAGACGATAATTTCTACTCTCAGAAATTTAGAGAAAAAACAGATATTCTTCGATAAGCGCACACGTACACGCTCACACACTCACCCACTGAGACACACACTCGTCCACACGCGTGCACATATATAACACACCCACGATAAACACAAGTGGGCAAGGCTGAAGAGATAAAGCGAGAGAGATCACTGGGCTGGTATGCAAGGAGGCGTCCGTCTTGGGCATTAGAGTGATTTTTCACAATAATTTTGCATTGTCTATAACCAACCCTCTTTCCTCCGGGGAAGTCAGAAACAACCGCTCAAGCCGGCTGTTCTGGCTGTTAGGCGCATATATTCGTGTTTTTCTTGCTACATAAGTCTGGTGTAGTGCAAACGGCCGCGTGTGTAACTATGACCGGGGCAGTGGAGGCAGAGGGAGGAGAGAGTAAGTGGCCAAGAGTTGGTGTTGGAGGGTCGAGGGCAGTCGGGTTGGTGAAATGATGGAGGAAATCCGTTTCTGCCTTTGCCGTTTGGTGGGGCTTTTTTCGTAATCCCAGTCCGGTTGCCCGATCGCTCCTATGACATGCCTTTATGCACACGTAAACCTGCACTCACAAACATACCAAAACGTTGTATGTGCAAATAGTTTGGCCAGATAGTCGGTCACTTAAGCGTCTGAATGAGGCAGATCTGGCCGATAGGCCCCACTCGGGCACTGAGGGAGGGTTGCCAAGACCAGCCAAGGGGTGGCATCTTCTCTCTGGCGCGATGATATGTCGGCGTGTGTGTTTGATTGGGGCAAGAGGCGGGCGAATAGTCCTGACCAGACTGGACGTACGCTCGGCGGACTGACCGACCCGTCTGGCCTCAGACCCGAGGATAGTTGCGCAAATCGCGAGGTGTCTGTGTCGAGCGGGATCGCGCCGCTCCTGCCTTTGCAGAGGCAGCTGTAGGGCTTCGTCACGGACAGTAACGAGACGTTGACCGAGGCTGAAGGCGGGTCAAGGGGGCATGGGCTGAAATGGTACAGACGACTGAAGCGTAAGTCTGCATATTCTATTAACAGACGGCCGTCAAGTACGGATTAGTTGTCTCGTACACTTGCAGAAACTGCAGCAGTTGAAATGGACAAATCACTCCTGCAACGTCTTTTTGCCGCGACTGTCGGCACAAAGACCTCTCGCATGGCGACTGTGCTCTCCTGGCCGAATGTGCAAACGCAACATGGGAAAACACGTCCTCAGGGCCTTCGGAGGCTCGTTTTAACCGGAACCACTGTAGCAACAGGCCAGTTAATGTATCCGATCATCCCAGTTTAAAGACAAACTGGAAGGCACGAGTGAGCGATCTGTTATTTGATCCAATTTGACCGGGGAAAAATAGTAGCAAACATTAATTGTAGCCGCTTACTATGGCTCTGGAAGAAAGAAAGCAGTAGTAAAGTTGCAATGCTTTGATTTCCCCTTCGAAGAGCTTATTATTTTCTTTTTGACAATTGAACAAATCAGTATGCCCATCTATCCTATGCGATATGGCCCTGAATATTAGGCGCTTCTTAATATCAGCCATGACGAGAAATGAGACCTGACTTAAACCGTCTAGAGAGGCTAATTGTTGGGCTTACTTCCATTTCGAGGAAGAGTGTCTGGTGAAGAGATTCAAAGGTCGATTGCACCAGAAGACGAACTGGTGGCTTTACTGGAATATCCATTCTGACGCTGTTTCCGAGGCAATCTCTTTCGATTCCGGTGAAAAGGTGCTAAGCTTTCATCCGCTCTGATGATGTCCGTCATATGAAGGACGAAAGCTTAGCACCTTTTCACCGGAATCAAACGAGATTGCCTCGGAAACAGCGTCAGAAATGAATCTTCCAGTAAAGCCAATCGACAGCTGGTCAAGAGGAATCTGCTGTCGTCCTCTGGTGGAGCCAAGCTTCGAATCTCTTCACCCAACACTTTCACTCGAAATGGAAGTAAGCTCAAGAATTATGAAACAATAGATTCCTCGAAACCCAACTTTTCTTCGCATATATTACTCCTATCTAAGCCTAGGTTACTAGGGTGACGTTCATGTTTGCGTTGGCTGGTAGCCTTCGTGGTCAAGCCTGTCACCAAACACTTCCCTGTCAGGCAGAAACACGAAAAATGCACACCAACACCGACGCACACACACTGGCGACCTATATCTGGCCCATCTATATCTCTAGTCTTTGAGTTCATATTCTACGTCGCGTACGAGTCAAGAATTTTTTTTTGACGATGATACCTTTCTCTGATGATATTTGTCATGTGACGGACGAAAGCTTAGCACCTTTTTACCGGAATCGAAAGAGATTGCTTTGGAAACAGCGTCTGAATGAATGTTCCAGTAAAGCCAATCGACAGCTGGTCAAGAGGAATCCGCCGTCGTCTTCTGGTGGAGCCGAGCTTCGAATCTCTTCACCCAACACTTCCATTCAAAATAGAAGTAAGCTCAGCAATTATGAAATAAACAGATTCCTCGAAACCCCACTTTTCTTCGCATATCGTGGCTAAGGCATTCTGCTCCTGGCTGCATACACCGAGGCTCTGGCTGACGTCGTGTCCGGTTCAAGAGTATTCATATTCTGGCTGTATTGGGCGGCCAGGTCAGGTCGGCTGCACAATTGAGGCAGAGACTGCCCAACCGGGCCACTTTAGGTTTTTGAAAAGAGTCAATTGGCGCCAAAGCTTGGTTGTCGGCAAGCATTTCTGCAAGAGAACGACAATAGCTGTCGCACGGCCACCAACGGTGCACAAGCCCCAATCCCACTGTCCCAGATCCCTACGGCGTCTTAGCCAAACATAACTCGACATCCACCACCAGCCTCTTGGCCACCCAAAAAGTCGACCCTTCCTCCAATCCCTATCGAAGGCACCACATATACTGACCATGGTCGCCACTGTGAAGCTAGTTTTTAGGGCAAGTTTCCCCTTCACTTCTCCTTAATGACTTCCTTATTGAGGTGTTGATTACCTCCGACTTACTTTACCAAATGAGCCATGGACACATAAACAATCATACATAATTTTACCTATATACATACATACAAGCAAGTAGGCAAACAAACAAATAAACAAGCACACAAACAAACATACACACCTACATACATGCGCCAAACTCGGCCTTTCATACCACTTTTGGTTTCGTGGATTCTGCCCTTATACTCCCTTGAGAGAAATCGTCTCCTGTGAATTGGTTTCCATGTCGGGAGGCGCAACAATAGGCGGCACACATACTCATACATACACATACACATACACGAAAAGACAGACGGAGCAACGCACAAACACGCGTACCCGCAAACTAGAAGACTGTGGCTAGTACTTCATGAAATCATAACGCCTTATACCAGACTGGCAGGCTTTAAGTAGGTATATTTTGCCTTAATGGGTGAAATTTTGTGTAACTATACCTCAGGGAGTGCGTAGATGAGGCCACCACACACTTGGGTGGTGGCCTGCGGGGATTACATGGAATGCATATGCAAGTACCATCAGCAACGCACATATAAAGGCGACTGTATGGGCACCTGCGGGGAGGATTTTAAGGCTGGCAAGTGGGAAACAATAAATTTTTGCTCAAATCTTTTCAAGTTATGGAGAGCAGAAAAAGTCTTCTCAAGAAGCATGCGGCTAAGGAAGCCAGGAACAAAAACTATTTGGTACCAACGGAAAACAGTAGATCTCTGTATGTAGGTTTCCGTTGGTACCACTTATAGGCTTGTGAGTTTATTGACACGGGTGGATACTTTGTGCACATCTGACCAGAAATAAACCGACCAAAACCGACGTGCAACTAATTTTAGCAGCAGACTAAAGTTAATTTGGCCTATTGCATGTCCATAAGTGTGAAAATCAAAAGATTCCTTCTAATAAGACTTATTTTAGCCTGAAACCCTCTTCCATACCAGTGGCAGAGTTTCCTCGTAATCTTTGCCTGAAAAGCCAGCAACATTTTTGCTACTTCTGAGGACTAGTTACTGTGAAAATAACCCAATCTCTCCTTCATTTATGCAGATGAATTTGGCCAAAGGACTGGTAAAAGGAGCCATTTTGGTTTAATGTATGCGCAAAGAGTAGAAATAAACTCGTTTTCTGTAGGATTTTGAGATGATCGGTAGGTTTTTAATAAGAGTTTTAGTCAGCTTATGTTGCTGAAAAACTGATTTCACCGATTGGGCTTTCCTGGGTTTTACGCCTTGAAAAGACTGATACAGTATGCAATGCAAATCTGCCGAATTTTTCATTCTTCAATACACACTCATATCTTTTGCTTAGGCATGCTTGCAGCTACGTGTATTCCGGCTTGGTAAGCCAGAGCATGGTTAAGACCATGCAAGCCGGGGTTTATATGAGGTTCATGCATGTGTATCCTCCGGTACACATGTGGGAGCTACAGCAAGAAGCACACTAGCGAGCAAGTGAACGAAGCAAGCTGATGAAATTCTCACCAATGCCTCATCTAAACTGGGATAGGCATGGACGTATTGCTGGTCCCGAAATGTAAATGAGTATAGGTGTGTGTGTGTGTGGTTGGGTGGGTGGGTGCGAAAACACATAATGCGTAAGTCGCTTTGCTTATGCAATGGTGAAGTAGCGAGATGGGCTTTCATGTGACACATTTGTGGCCGACAAAAATGTGGGAGAGACTGTTGTTTTGGATTCAATTTAGCAATCGTCCTATGCTTCTCCATCGGGGTCCAAGTAAGGCTTATCGAGATGCGCTTGTGACAACAAAAGGTTCAACTTTTAATGATACAGTAAAAAAGAGGACTGGAAAGTAAAAGGGATACTGGGAAGATATGAAGGTGAAGGGGGGAAAGAGGAAAAAAGCAAAGTATTTCAATTAAGTGTAAGTTGAGCTCATCACTAGCATACTACTTCCACTATAACTATCAGACACAACATAAATGGTAATAAGTATGAATGGTTCAAGAATACGGTGGCACACTTATTAATCTAAATACCGCTCAGTGTGATGCATGCAGGAAGGCGATCTGGGAAGGATATTTTTGTTGACCATGGTTAGGACTTAGGCTACGGTTGGGGCAGTAAAGGTATGCTAAGACTTGTCACTGACTGTATAGTTTTAGTGACTGTATTAAGGCAGAGCCGGACAAAGCCTCAATAGTGCTTTGTTTGAGGACAAAATAATGAGCGGACGAGTAAGGGAGAGTAAAAGTTGGCTAGGCTCGAGAGGAAGTGAGGTGAAAGGCCAGATAGAGGGAGGTATGAAGAGAGGACAGAGAGTAGCATGTGCCTTTATGCGTATAAAACTGCAAAAGTGAAGATGGTGTCTGTGTCAGTTTCCTCTTCTGTGTACATATTCATTTGTGCATCTGTATGCGAGTTTATGTTCAGGCATTTCAGAGCGCGTGCAGGCTTACATACATGCGTGTATCAACTCATGTGCTGACAAACATGTGTTTGTGTGTGTATGTGTGCATGCGTATGACAAGATATAAGCGTATTCGTTACTGTGGTTAGGGTACTTTAAGTATGTGTGAATGGGAGTACAAAATAGCTGAAGAGACACACGTGATGCGTGTACATGTCAGGATGAATGTGTGTGTGTGTGTGTGTGTGTGTGAGAGAGAGAGAGAGAGAGGGGCTGCTAAAGGGTGGCTTGTGCTCACACGTAGAGGTTTAGTTGAGGATTAGCCATGACCACCCAGCTGGACCACCATAAAATGGCGGCGGTGTTTTGACAAAATTAATTCTTTTAAGTTTATTTTAACTTTTGTCCATCTGCGCTTTGAGCTCATACAGGCCTAAAATTTCTTGTGTGCTCCTAAACTGGGGCATCTAAACTCCACTTTATCCACATGTCAGGCAAGTTGTGCATCTCTTAGATTAGGAAATCTGAAGCATGATGTCATAGAATTATCCTCTGTAGAGGATAATCCTCCAAGAAGCATATATACTTACCTTTAGCAAAATAAATATGGATGCATACTCTTTCTAGAAATGCATACATGCACACTTTCTGAACCTATTTATCAAATTCACTTTCAGACATGAGAACGGCTGTGTAGAAGTGTGAGGCAGATCTGATTGTGGGGTTGCCTTGTTTTTTGTCGCTTCGTGATTATTTCTTGCTAGGAATGGGTAGATTTAATATCGCCGTGATGAAAGTTGAACAGAAAAACAGCTTTTGTCAGTCTGTCTTTTCGAGGAGACCACGATCCGGATCTCGTATGGTTATGGCACGTTTTTTACAAGGTAAGCATACACAAGTTGAATGACAGAAATAGGTGAGGCGTGCAGGTGTCTATGACGTAAGCTCGTTTGGAATGCGATGCTCTGAAGTAATTTATCTCACTAGTTAGTTAACCAGTATGCCACGGGCTTCGCACTATATTTTTATTGTCTCTGAGGCAGTACAGAAAAGCCTACACATTTTACCGAGAGATTCTGAAATTAAAGCTCAACTATGCAGTAGAGATGGATTGATCTTGATGCAAAGGGATAAATATGAACGAAATATGTCACCTTGGCAGATATCAGACCCGACGTAATTTTTTTTAGAATGGCCTACAGCTGCATGCTTTCAAATGAAGAGAATGCACAAAATCGGATGCATCAAGTCCCGGCTGAAGTTTTTTTCAAAGGTTAGCGTGCAAATTCTAACACGACCTGATCTAATTGGTTTTCAAAAATATATTTATTGCTGAACGATGTA